CAACTGGTACATACGTCCCATCGGACGATGAAGGCATAGAGATGATCGGAGCAATAGGTTCTGAGTGAATTGTCTGCAGGTAAGAATTTTGGAATTTATGAAATTTGACGACTTTTGACCCGGCCTAGGGTCACAGGTCATCACTTATTGGTTGGCTCGTGTCCCTTGCTCAGTCGTAACGACGGAACAGGCGGCAGTTGTACGCTTGCTACCGTCTGCGGTTCTCGAGCGCTGGTTTCTTGGTGTGCTCTGTTCAGGCTGCCTTCCCACCGTTGTGTCAACAATAGCCGCACTGGTCCCAAGCGCAAAGCGTTAAACGCATAGATGTTTAATACCCCTGGATTGGTAGCGACCATATTCCATTACTAGCAGCTTTGTGCAGTTGAAAGAGGGGCATAAGCTGTACAGTGGACTGGACTCGCCGGCTGACCGGACCAAGGCGATATAGACCAGGTGGTACCGTCCCAACCACGCACTTCTCAGCGAAGATCTCTCTGTGACGTCACCGGGTTACAACTCTTAATGGAGTGCGCCATATTTAATGCATGGGGCATTAAACTGAAATATCCATCTTAAGATTATTCAACACAGTTTAGTTTACTCTAATTTCTGAACTACACGCCCACACAGATATGTAGGATATTTAGGGGGGAACCATTTCAAGAACACCCAGGCATCCATAGCACCATAATGTCATTCAAATCATGCCATTCCGTTCGGCGTGCGACGATCAAATCAAGAAAAATATGAGTGTCAAGTCTTTCATATCTAATATTCGTGAGCACGATTTTAATACATGACGACCATCAAACTGGCTCCCAATGTTGTAGAAGATACGACGACGTAATAAAATAGTGACGCATAGAGTAGCATATTATTAAGCAGCAAAATTTTATTGTCTAGAGCAGCTATTCCACTTCAAAGCTTTTCAACAGTCATACGTGAGCTCATTTCATCATATTGGATGTTTGCTCCAATGTCTTCAACAGTGGGACATTAGCTTTAACGCCGGGACGGCCGCACGCATGGTGACGGGCATGAGGCGACCGCGTGTAGTACAACACGTCCGGTCAATGGAATGCTTAGTAGATAAAGATGCATCGGTATAAATAACTAAACTTTACAGGCGTGTCTAATTTTGAGTATAAGTGAAGAACTGAGGGCGGTAGTATAGAACCCAGGAAGCAAGCAATGGAGGATGATCCGGCGCGTCTTACGCCAAGGAAGGTAGGCGGCATATACAAATATTTTGTTTTGGAAGCACCAGATATGCTCAAAAACTGCACCCACGGGTTACCAGATTACTTTGTGTGTCATAGCTAACCGCCCCCTGGTGTGCTCACCGGAAACAAATCCATCGGACTTCTAGACCCCAGTTGGCATTTAGATAAGGAATCCGGTCGGGCAGATCACCCACAGCGACAAAATGGTCAGATATTGGCGTAGCTTAGACGGTGTACCAAAGCGAGTCTACGCGTATCTCCCACCTTCCTGTCTGATATATCTTTGAGAAACGCCCGCGTATAGCGGCGCAAGAAGCTAAGGTGCCTCAAGCTCTTTGGTCGGGGTTTCCGACTCGGACCAGCCAGGCACATTCGCTCGGCTCCATTTAACGGAAACAGCTAAGTTAATGCACACTGGGGCCTAGTCATTTACCAGAGCTGAGCGTTGACAGCTAGATTCATGATGCAAAGTATACCGCTGGTTTGCTCCACCTTTGCCCAGCACCGGATACGACTTATTCGAGTTTAAAATCGAATGTAGTCTAAGAGCACACCACAGTCTACGTTCATAAGCGTTTGGCTATAATTTTCAATGAAGCCGATCAATTAATGATATTTCGCAGTTGACAAAAGGCTTTGATTATGCAACTGTCCACCGTGTAAAGCTATATCGTTCACGAAAAAGCAGGATCAGGTGCACTCCAGCGGGTCCCTCGTCTCCATAGCCGGCCTCAGCATCCGGCGTACGCATCGAGCTCGAATCCACGCATCCACCTTGTTAGCGTGCTGTCTGAAGGCTGGGGACGTTGATGACATACTGGACGAACGCGCAGATCTTCCGTAATGAGCCGTGGTGTGGCGATATTGGCGACATCCAATCCCTACGTCGACCCTCGGCCAGTAGATGACGACTGAGTGCTTCGTTAAGTTACTGAGCTGCTGCTGGCTGAAGATGCCCGTGGTCTTCATGTGCTGCAGATCCTGAGTCCTCCGCAGGAGCAGGCACACGTGGCTATATGTGGCTATATGTGGCGTGGCTATATGTGAGTGGTCCCCACGTGGCTATATGTGGCTATATGTGGCGTGGCTATATGTGGCGCAACATGTGAGTGGTCCCCGACATCAGTTCAGTTCGGTCCTGAGCATGCGACTTGAACCGCCGAAAGTCAGGCGGGCTTGCTCGCGTCCCGGTGGTGTGTGTGTGTGTGTGTGTGTGTGTGTGTGTGTGTGTGTGTGTGTGTGTGTGTGTGTGTGTGTGTGTGTGTATGTGTGTGTGTGTGTGTGTGTGTGTGCGTGTGTGTGTGTATGTGTGTGTGTGCGTGTGTGTGTGTGTGTGTGTGCGTGTGGTGTGGTCGAACGAGGTCCAACACTCCGCCAGCAAGATCGCAATTTCTGACACCAATTGAAGTAGAAGTCAATATGCTGACTGTGGAAAAATGTGGATCTTGGCGATCATCTTATTAGCACCCCGCAGCAAAGTCTCTGAATTAGGCAAATTGTTATCCGCGAAGAAGCATGTAATGGGCCTGTTTTACGGGTCGCTCATGTTTGCTTGTCCCGATTTTCTGCAAATGCTATCAATCATCACTCTGATGCGAGTGGTGCGAGCTCAATGCAATGCTCGCCTTAAATAATGGAAATGTTTTCAACGTCGGGTCAGTATATGTCTTCCTTTTTTGCCAGGCACTATTGAAATATTAATACCTTTTGATAAAACATCATGCACGCTTTGCACGATCATGCGCTAGTCGCGATCTTTTACCAACGTTTTTAGAGTCGTCTGTTATGTGGTACCGAGCCGCGAATTTAAGACGAACTTTCACCATCAGTATCAAAGGGAATACACTTGTTTAGAGGGATTGTGTCCAGTAAGTGGGGATTTTTACTATGCAAGTGGGATGGTAGGGATTTTAAGTTAAGTAAATTTTGGTGTCATTGGTTTCTACCAATCCCAACATAACTGCATTCTGGGTAGCGATGCTGTGAGTCGTCATGGACTAAGTCATATAGCACCATTGCTACGGCCGTGTGAAAATGCGTTTTTCTGCGGGGTAGATTTAACATGATATCCGCATGAACCCATTTTGGTTCGGCCTACCGTATTCAATGAAGCTTTTCAGCTGGGAAATGGCGTTGGTTTGCACCAGAGCTACAAAATTATTGCTGAAATGCGCCTCCAGTTCTGACCCCGACAGCAAAATGGGGTGACTTATCTTAACCAGTGACTTATCCCGGAAAACTCTCGCCGGAAGTGCTTAGAAATCCTTGCCGGAAGTGCTTAGAAAGTGCTTAGAAATAGTAAAAGAGTGCAGCATACAAGCAGAATAGGGTGGAGATGAGAGCGGCGGCCCAAACGGCCTCGCAGCACCCTGGGACGCTCATTGAGAAATTTGAATGAACATCCTGTAGCTTAAGAAAGGGGCGTTGCCAGGGTGGATGCAGGTTTGGTTTGCCCTAATGGGGACAGTGAGGAGTGAGCCCCGGGAGTGATTAGTTTCAAGGGTTTCAACTCATCACTACGGACTAAAAATTGTTCTCCTCGGTGCGGAATTTTGCGTCCATGGCAAAACTTTTCCAGACACGGTCGTTCAGACTACCTTATCCAAAAGATGACAGATAATAAAACGTCAATCACCTCAAAACGGTACCTCCAGTCGCCTCGATCTTTGCAGAATCGTGTTCAGAGCTCGCGAAAATCATGTCCAAATTTCCTCAAAATTCCAGATTATCGAGCGTCAAAAGTGGCCCTTCACTGGCTGAGCCGACATGGTGTCACCCTTATGTATGCTGCAACACGATGTGTGGACAAAACTGGCGTAAAAGGGTCTTTATCCACCTTCACTGCACGCCTGCGACATCCTGGATACGCTGCCGTTGCGCACACAGCGGCGCGGTCAATGTGCCGGATCGGTTTTCGCGTCACCATGGTCGGCTTCTGGTTCGCAGTGCCAGTGCTTGGCGTCGCGAAGCTCAATAATCACGCGGCATGCTTTATTTGATGCCACGGTGCCGAGGGTTCCAGCTCGGCCACTGCTCGTCAGGTCTGGACACGTGCAGGACGCTCCCGTAAAGGTGCCGACAAGCCGCGTACCGGGTCCCAGGGCTCCAAGGTGGGCAGATCCATTCAGACCCCCGGATTTCGAGGTCAGACACCGAAGATACAAAGTCCGGACGCAACGGATATCAAGCCCAGATACGAGCAGGTACAACAGTCGGAAGCTTATCATCAAAGTCAGGTATAGCCAGATAACGGTAACGACGAACTACGGAAGAACAACGAACTGAGGTGTAGTCAGAAATCGGGACCGACGATACCAGGGCATATACATTGAAGTATTAAACTGCAGTGTGGGCAGATACCAAGATTGGATCAAACAGATATCAAGGTCATATAGATAAATGCCCAGAAGAGGTCCTGGCTGAAACGAAGATCAGAAGCCCTCAAAACTGTCAGGTACGGACTGCAAAATGTCTCCTACCACCGCAATGTTACTGGCCTTCGTGCTTTGCGCTACTTCCTGCGCCGGTGGCCTGTACAGGCACCGTTATGCTGTCCGAGCCTCCACGAACATCCTGTCGACCTCTGCACCTTGGCGCACTACCTGTGCTCTGCTGTGCGCCCACCACGAGGAATGTACCCACTGGAGCTACGACAAGGTGTCCCACAACTGCACCCTCTACCCCGCCCTCCGCACCGAGGCCAGCCCGCCGAGCATCGAACAGGAAATTTACACTTTGGAAGACATCCCCGACAACTTCCGTAGGGTCCCAGGCACCATGAAGTCCTTCCGACTGCACCCAGGGACAACGATCAGGCGCGGAAGCGACATTGAGCAATACTGCCTCAGGGACGGACCAGGCGTGGAGCCAGCATTCCCCGAGACGAACAAGGAGGTCATCTTCCTCAAGGGCATGATGAAGGGCAGCAGTCGCTTCTTCTACATCGGTATCGTCGAGGCGAGCGGTACCGACGGCGTTTACAACAACGTTCGCAGGAACAGGCCCATCACGCTGAAGCCTGAGTGGTTCAACAGTAAGCAGACAGCCAACGGGCCCTGGTACAGCTGCATGAGGATGGACAGGACCGGCATGAATACAAACTCATGTTCATCGAGATACTCTTTCGTGTGTCAGTATGAGCTGTACTGAACACCTCTCTGGATGTTCCCCGGCCGAAGCAGGGATGCAGAAGCACCGTGATCAACTGCGGAAGACAACACTGGAGTTTGCAGCTGTATAACATCCGTGTAAGGTGTCGGACCCGAGTGTATTTGAACATCACGATGCCACCCCTATACCGCGATAAACCATAGCTAACAAATTAAGGAACACTGGTATGGCTCTGGGTCATATGCTTGTGCAGCATGATATGCAATGACTTGCAGGGGTTTCACTTTGCAAAAACGGCGACAGAAGTCAGGCTCAGAGACCATCAGCTTTTTGTTAATTCTTAAATTGTGTTATAGAAGCATGGGTAGCTTTAACAGTTGCCTATTTTCACCGGTTTCCCCATTTGAATGACGTGAAGCCAGAATATCACAATGAAGTGATTTGTATTTTGTTTTGTATTTGTATTTTTGTATTTTTTGTATTTTTTATTTGTATTTGTATCATCTTTTCAAAAGAAAAGAAGTTCTGGAAGTCATTGGAAACACAACATAATCGGTGGACCGTTCGGAGCAGCATAACAAGATGGGGTAAAGCGGGGACGATGCATCTTTCGCTTACTTTTCTATTTGTATCACAATGGGTACAGCTCAGCGATTTTGTCGTGGGAAACGCTGCCTTCATTGGTAGATTTACGGGCGAAATATGTCCCTACTCATAGCATAAACCGCGACTAGGCATGCAAAAGCAATGTACAATAACAAACTTCCAAAATTGAGTAGTCTGGATCAAAGTTCTTTTTCTCAAAATGTTGTCTGCAACGATCAGTGACTTGCAGTCTGAGAAACCTCTGATCCGGAAGTTTTGCAGGTCCGAGCGTCGGTTATCCGCCGGTCCGCTGTGTAATCTCAACATAATGTATGTCGCACACGCACACACACACACACACACACACACACACACACACACACACATATATATATATATATATATATATATATATATATATATATGTGTATATATATATCTCTCTCTCTCTCTCTCTCCTCTCTCTCCTCTCTCTCTCCTCTCCTCTCTCTCCTCTCTCTCTCTCTCTCTCTCTCTCTCTCTCCTCTCTCTCTCTCTCTCTCTCTCCTCTCTCTCGTCTCAATCTCTCTCTCTCTCTCATGTCAAGCAACGTTGGAAACCTTGCGAGTTAAGAAACGAAACATTACGGCTCATTCACGACTTGTTGCTGGAGGTATCAGCTGTAAACCCGCACGCTCGCAAAAGCCAGCTAAAAAGAGCCCAAAAGTGCTACCTCTAGTCAACAGCAACTGAAGTCCACTGAATGTGCAGTGGTTGCTGTGGTGGTCGGATGTGCGAAGCAGAGAGGTACCACTTTTGAGCCCATTTTACTACTTTTGGTAGAATGGCATCACTTTTCACCATTTTTAGCCCTTTTTCAGCCCGCAGTGTGCGCGCTTCAGGCTTCAAAATCGTAACCTCCATATCGCAGCAGTTGACTGGCCACATAATCTGCGTTGG